CCGCTCCTCATCAGACTTGTTCTCCAGACCCCTCACCAGCCTCGTTGCCCTTCTCTGGACACGCTCCAGCACGTCAACATCCTCCTTGTAGTGAGGGGCCCAAAACTGAACACAGTATTTGAGGTGCGGCCTCACCAGTGCCGAGTACAGGGGCACGATCACTTCCCTACTCCTGCTGGCCACACTATTTCTGATACAAGCCAGGATGCTCTTGGCCTTCTTGGCCGCCTGGGCACACTGCCGGCTCATGTTCAGGCGGCTGTTGACCGGTTTCTTTTCCACCAGGCAGCTTTCCAGCCACTCTTCCCCAAGCCTCTAGCGTTGCATGGGGTTCTTGTGACCCAAGTGCAGGACCATCTTAATATATATGTATACATACACATATGTAATATGTACAGTGTATGCATATATATATTCAGCCAAATAAAAATAATAACAAAATTATTTCCAGCTATTTTGCTTATTTCTAAATTGGGAGATTACAGAACAACAGATGGCAGCCTATGACACGTGCAGATCCCACCCTTTTATTTTTTCATAAGCTGTGTACACAGTCCCATTCATATACAACTCTAAACAATCTCTTAAAAGAAGAAATGAAGGCACCATTGACCCATAGAAGTAGAGCAGAAGTCAAAGCTTTTGATTGCCACTGGAGTTCAGGCTCTTCATTCAATATTTACTGCAGTTGTCCCTTCTCACACTGAACTTGAAACACTTAGAGGTATGGTAAATGTACATTTTTTTCAGTAGATAGAGACCAAAGAATAAAGTGTAGCACATTTGTCTGATGACACTAAATAATAACCAATGTTGCATTAGAACACTCTATAAGAGAAGTGGCCGTACAGTAAATTAAGACATAAAGAATTAAATGCCAGAGTGCTCTTGCTGGGTACTGCAGGGCTCTGCCGTACCTCACAGCTCAGTAGTCATTTTGATGACAACAATTAAAGATTTGAAACTTTCTCCCATAGTTGCAGAGAAATAATTTAAAGGCAGCTAATAAATTAAAAGTGAAAGAATTCAGAACATGCAAACTAATCTATACTGGAGAAGTTAAAACCTGGAATACAGCTATGCTAAAAGAAACAGGGATAAATGTTTTGCCTAGTGGATGGCAAATGTGG